AAACCTTGAGGCAGTTTTAGCCTTATTAAGCCCAGTAAAAATACCTTCATTTGCCTTTCCCCGAAATGACCATATTCATTCCAAGGCAAATAGTTGAGCTCTACTGATAAACACTGAAAACTTTCTACACACATACTCTCTCTCATTCTCGATTTCTCAGGATTTTTAGCAACAGAGAATAACATTTTCTCTCCAGAATATTTTTAGGATCATACTCTGAAACTTCTTCTATCAGCAATCTCCTTTATTCAAGGGATCTCATAATTTTGGGGTAATATAACGGGCCTATTTGATGAAGGTATATAAAGGATCCTCAAAATACAATAAAATCTTAAAATTGCTTCACTGTTTTTATGAAAGCTTATGTATGAATACTAGAGTACAATAAAATTTAGAGGAAGGGGAGCTACAGCATCACGGAACCTACAAAAATGGGTAAAAGCAATTTACCTGAAATGAGTAAAAGAATGTCAAAAAGTATGAAAAGTCATGTTGATGAACAGAAATCTGGGCATTAGGTCAAAATGAGATAAAACCTGTTGGAGATATACTAAGTTTAAGGCTGATTTTTGCTGCAAAGCCTTACTGGAAGGGGTGAATGGTTGACTTTTAGTTAGAAGGCATTATTATTTTAACATAGAAGCACAAAGGTTGAAAGCTGAAGTGTAGGGAAAAGAGCCATGTTGTGATTAAACATGAAAAATATATTAACCCACATACTAGACCCAATTTCTAACCAATCTCATTTTTTGAATATAGTTTACAGTTTATGGTTTGATATGTAAGCTACTGACTGTTTAATTTAATTTACTGGAAGGTTTCTAGAAATGGCAAGCTGCCATCTTGAAATATATAATTTTATGAGATAAATGTAGAGATTTTCGATAAATGTTAAGTGTGAAGCAAAGTCCATATTTACAAAAAATTATTTTGGAAGGAGTGATAGCTGTAACAACTATTTTTGCAAACTGCTAAATACATCTGTGGCTGGTTGAAGGTATAATTTATCATGAGTATATCTACAGTGAAAAAATTGTCCACTAAACATAAAAGATACATTAAAAAATAACTTGGTAGTCTTTGCAAAATAATTACAAAGGTGAATATTCAGTAAAAAACAATTTTGGGTATAAATTATTGTTTTAGGTACTTAATCAATTATAGCAGCATACTTAAAATTGTCAGCTAAAATGTAAATGTCAAGATCTCTTCATCCTAACAAAACAATAAAAATTACCTCCTCCTTTGGAACAAAAAGTGATCAGCCAGCCAATACCAGCAGCAAAAGCAGTTTGTATGGCATTAACAAAATTTCCTTAAAAGAAAATAAAGCAGATATTTTATCAGTTATTCTATGATAATAGAAACAGTCTTATAATTATATTTCTTTCTAACCTCTTCCAATTCACTCTGAGTAATACCAGTTATCTTCCTAAAAATTCTCTTGGCTATGTCAAACTCCTTCAATGGTGCTCTAATTTTTTCATCATGTAAACCTAAATTCATTATTTCATTAAGAAAAAAACTCATACTGCCAAGTCAGATCCTTTGTGATCTGAGCTTTGTCTACCTATTCAGCCAGTTGTATTTTCCCCCAAACCAGCTGGTGTGATTATCTTTTTGTCAGATTCCTGAAATATTGCCAGTTCCCCAGATATACAATGATCTCTTAAAGCTCCCAACTTTTCATGACAGGGTATGAGCTCTTTCCAGAAGTATTTTTCTCAATTTGGTGGTTTTGTATCTTTTATTCTTCCCTGCGTTTACCTCCCTCATAATACATTACATTTTAGTTGTCATGTTCATAATGACTAGGGTTATAGTAGTAAAATAACAGTTTCTGACCCATAACTGGTATTCAATGCCTTTTAGCCACAAATACTGTGATTTAATGGATAGTTCAGAGTAAATAACCTGATTAAAATCACTTTGTAAATTAAAAGCTCAAGAATAGTTTTTAAACTTTAAAATTAAGCTGAATAGGCATGAATTTATTGCCTAATACAGTACACTTAGGAAAGCAATAAAATGCTTATATTACAAAACATTAATTTCCTGTATCTTAATTGTTTAAGTTTTTGTACAAATATAACTAGTTTGTTTAAAATACTTTTCAGCAGAGATCAGATGACATAATCCCCTTCTAAGAAGCACAGAAAAGCTACTTTAAAATTTTAATATTATGACCAAAAAGTTAATATTTCTGCTAAAAACTTAAATGCCAATTTCAAAGTATTCTTGAAAATTAAGAAAATAAAATTACCTGTCCACAGTTCTGTCACTGTACTTTTAACATGCTGCATTGCAAAACTCACTAAACTCTCCTTTGATCTGTCTCCATGATATTTCACTGCAGCCTATTGATTTTTTATAAAAAGAGAAATATCTTTTACTTTTTAAAACTCACTACAACTACCAAATACTTTTGGTTTTACATTATTTTGAATAATATGGTAAAGTTCTGTTTCTCACTAGCGTGTATTTCCAAATAATACCTTGAGAATCTTGACATTACAGATTCTATAAAAGACATTTTAAAAACCATTTTTAATTTTAGTTTCAGTTTCATCACTGGTAAATATCAGCTTTATATTCAATGAGACAATATCTATAATATACTTTGGAAGCTACAAAGTACAATATACATATTGAATACATTATGTTCCTTAAGATAGAAACTGAAATTGGTAAACATTTAATTCTGAAATACAGCAAAGTAAAAACAATGGCATCTAAGAAATAATGGCATTAAAATAACATAAAATAATGCAAAACGTTTATTATTACTTGAACTCAGATGGCACATAAAATAAGACTGAAAATCAAAACATTCAACAAATCCACATACTGTATTTTCTCTAGCATTTCACTTTTTATAAAGTCTTATGAATTTAAAAAATGCTAACTTTATCCCTTACCATTCCAGACCTAAAAATGAAAAGGCTAGGATAGCTGTTAACTCCTTTCATTCGGCAAAGCATTCTATCATCACCGCAGTTGACAGCTCCAATTCGAAGTAATCCATCTACTTCTTTAGCAAAGTCTCTCCACTGGGAGAGAAAAAGAAAACATTAAGTATTTCTCCAATAACATCATTTTTCTTCCTTGACCACAACTTTAAGTTATCATTTTTTTTTTTTTTTTTTTTTTGAGACAGAGCCTCAAGCTGTCCCCCTGGGTGGAG